TATGGAGGCCGTGGCCTCGTCCATGATCAGGATGCTGCTTTTTCGTACGAACGCTCGAGCCAAACAGAAGAGCTGCCGCTGCCCGACGCTGAAATTCTCCCCCCCTTCTGTGACTGAGGCGTCTGGGGGGAGGAAGAGAGCAGATTGTCAGTGCTCCGGCCCTTTAAAATCCCATCGTTCTCCACAGGACCCGACCACTCTGTCCATTCACCGCAGGACCCGCCCACTCTGTCCATTCACCGCAGGACCCGCCCCCACTCTGTCCATTCACCACAGGACCCGCCCACTCTGTCCAATCACAGCAGGACCTGCCTACTCTGTCCAATCACAGCAGGACCCTCCCACACTGTCCAATCACAGCAGGAACCACCCACTCTGTCCAGTCACCACAGGACCCGCCCACTCTGTCCAATCACAGCAGGACCCGCCCACTCTGTCCAATCACAGCAGGACCTGCCTACTCTGTCCAATCACAGCAGGACCCGCCCACACTGTCCAGTCACCACAGGACCCGCCCACTCTGTCCAATTACAGAAGGACCCACCCACTCTGTCTGATCACCAATCACCAGTCTGACGATGATGTCATGGTGACATTTCCAGAGTCTCACTCATAGGTCAGACCGATGGGCGTGACAATCCATAAATATCCCCTCCCCCATCCCGTACCCAGACCGCCAGGAAGCGCCTTCACCACGTGTTTGAGCTGAGCGATCTCCAGCGCCTCCCACAACACGCAATCCGAACATTTATTCTCCGGATCCAGATTAAACCTGCAGAGACACCAATGATGACATCACACCCCGATATATGACATCACACCCCGATATATGACATCACACCCCGATATATGACATCACACCCCGATATATGACATCACACCCCGATATATGACATCACACCCCGATATATGACATCACACCCCGATATATGACATCACACCCCGATATATGACATCACACCCCGATATATGACATCACACCCCGATATATGACATCACACCCCGATATATGACATCACACCCCGATATATGACATCACACCCCGATATATGACATCACACCCCGATATATGACATCACACCCCGATATATGACATCACACCCCGATATATGACATCACACCCCGATATATGACATCACACCCCGATATATGACATCACACCCCGATATATGACATCACACCCCGATATATGACATCACACCCCGATATATGACATCACACCCCGATATATGACATCACACCCCGATATATGACATCACACCCCGATATATGACATCACACCCCGATATATGACATCACACCCCGATATATGACATCACACCCCGATATATGACATCACACCCCGATATATGACATCACACCCCGATATATGACATCACACCCCGATATATGACATCACACCCCGATATATGACATCACACCCCGATATATGACATCACACCCCGATATATGACATCACACCCCGATATATGACATCACACCCCGATATATGACATCACACCCCGATATATGACATCACACCCCGATATATGACATCACACCCCGATATATGACATCACACCCCGATATATGACATCACACCCCGATATATGACATCACACCCCGATATATGACATCACACCCCGATATATGACATCACACCCCGATATATGACATCACACCCCCCGATATATGACATTGCACCCCCCGATATATGACATCGCACCCCGATATATGACATCGCACCCCGATATATGACATCGCACCCCGATATATGACATCACACCCCGATATATATGACATCACACCCCGATATATGACATCACACCCCGATATATGACATCACACCCCGATATATATGACATCACACCCTGATATATATGACATCACACTCTGATACACTACATTGCCATTAGTATTGGGACACCTTCACACGCACATGAACTCTAATGCCCCCCCCCCCC